CTGGAGCATGCGCCACACTTGGCGCACGTGGAGCACGTGGCTCATTTCGCGCATCGGGCGTGCCTGGCACGTTTGGGCCCCAAGGGGGCCTGGCGCGCCTGGTGTGCGTGGCGCGCCTGCCTCTCGTGGCGAACTTTGCCTGAACGTCGCGCACCTGGGGTGTGTTTTGATTCCCGGTAGCTGCCTATTCAAAGACGACCGCTGAATATGCTGAGCGTAAAATACTGCTTGTGCGTTGGGAGCGCGGGTGGGAGAGAGCCGAACAATGCGCGTTTACATCAATGTCCCATATTCAAAACACCATGTCCCCCGCCCGACTGGCGACAAACCCGGGACACTGCCAGCACCCCCCCACCATCCTTCCAAAGAAGAAGAAGAATGAAAAAAACAGAGAAAACAAAAGTAAACAAAAAAAACAAACTTGCACTTCGGATCAAAAACTGGATTATGCGCGGGCGTTCCGCGATTACTATGTATTGGAATTCTGATGGAGAAGAGAAAGAGGAACCCGCTGCCCCTGAGGAGGGCTATCTAAGAAGAACACCCAGACGAACTCGACGACAGGGCAGCGAGAACAAAGGCTTGGAAGAGTTCCTGGCACGAGGGAACCACGGGCAGGAGACCACAATGCGACTGATGCGCACTTGCCACAGAAGCATGCGATCACCTTGCAGTGGTTTTGACCCGGACGGCGGGGCGGCCGGCGCATTGCCTGCTGCGTGCAGGCCGACCACCCCCACCACCCCCTGCAATATTTTTGTATACAAAAAGCACTTTGCACCATAATCTGGATCATGCGCATGCGCCCCGCGATCACGCAGCAGGCATATTGCCTGCTGCGTGCAGGCCCACCATCCCTGTCAAAAAAACAAAGTGATTGAGGGTGTACACCCACGCAAAGTGATCGAGGATGCACACCCAAGCACTTCTTGCGTCGGCGGCTGGGCATACGATCGCTGCTCTGGCGGAGTGGCAACACGGGACCTGGAGGAAGAGGGGGAAGCACGGAGGAAGAGGAGGAGCCCCAGCGCGACAGGAAGAGAGGAAACCGGGCCCACCCAGAGTCGCCGACTGCGGCAGGGGAACGCCGAGGGGGGAACCAGCGCTGGCACTGAGCTGCAATGAGCTGCACTGAGCTGAAGCTGGGGGAAGCGCGGCCCAGCAGACTGAGTGGCAAATGGGGGAGCAACACGAGCGAACCAGAGACTCGACCCAGCGAACCGCAAGGTGCGGCCCAGGGGAGGAGCTGACGCACCGAGACCTGGGGGCCTACGAACCGCGGCAGAACAAGGGCGAGAGCGCCGAGACCGGGGGGGACTACGAAGCGCGGGGCGGGGAGGCGGGCCGCGACCACCCGGCGGGGCGGACGCTGGCCGGGGGCGAAAAGGAGTGGAGGGGCCACGCCAGAAGGGGAGCGGCGGGCCCAGGGGCGCGGGCGCGCGCCCAGACCAAAGGGCCAACGCACGCAGGCCCAGGGCAGGGCAGGGTGCCACGGAGGCGGCAGCAGCCAGAACACCAGCAGCTGGCGTCGGGGCGGGCGGCCTGGAAACCAGGCAGAGGGGCAAGACACTGGCAGCGCCACGAACGCCGCCCGGCGGGCGGAAGCCCGGCATGGGCCCGCGGGGCGCCACAGGCAGAGCCTGGGCAAAACCTGCGTAAGGCCGCAGCAGGGGCCAGAAACGGCGGCGCAGGGCGCCCCAGGCGGGGAGGTGGGGAGCGGCCAAGAGGCCACGAGCAGGCGGCAAGGTCAGCCTGCCAGGGGCCGGGCCCGCCCCGGGGCAGGGCACCCAAGGCGGCGAGCGGCGAGAGCCACCAAGGTGCAGGCGAGAGAAACCCCACGAGGGGGAGGGGGGGCAGGAGGCCCGAGCGCGGCGAGGCGCCGCGGGGCCAGGCGGCGGGGCAGGCAGCCGGCGGCGAGAGGGCGCAGGCCCCGAGCGGAAGCTGGAGGCCTGTGGGAGGGGGGGCACCGAATGGGCGCGCGGACGCGAACGAGCCACGGGGGCAGAGGGGGGAAGGGGCAGCGACCAGGGTGGCCACTCCCCAGAGCCTAGGGACGCCGAACTCAGAACAAGTCGACGTGACGGGGCAGCTGCACGAGAGCTACCAACGGTTTATGCTGGAGGCTGGCCAGCGCCGACGGGAAAGGTCAATGCTCGGCCAAGAGGAGTCAGCCGAACGCTTGCATTTCCCCCACGGAGGGGCCCCCTTCCTTTCGCCTTCGGCAAGCTCGGCGTTGTCTTCTCGCAACGAGTTCTCGGTACCACTCGGCGTTCCAATCGATTTGAATGTCTTTGTTCATGCACAGCCTGCGAACACCATAGTTGCCCTCGCTGAGCTCACGCACAGAATCATGGCAGAAGTCCGCGTGGTGACGCAGGGGGTCCTTGGCGGATTGCGGCCCACACTCGTGGTCGCAGATGGCGTCCCAGCCAATCGCCAACACGGGGCCGCATTATTCCCTCTGGAGGCGGTTAACAATTTTTCCAGTCCTCCCTTGCACCAGCTCGGCAATTCCCGATGGGGTGCCAAGTCAATGTGTGCCTCGGCTTGTAGTAAAGCTGATCCGTGTTGTCAGACTGGGGCGGGGGCAACAATGCAGGGGGCGGTTGGCGCGGCGTCGGTTCCTGCCGCAGGGGCGGGGCTACCTCTCCCGAGCCCCATCCACGCCACTTTGGGAGGCGCCTGGGCTGAGCTGCTCGTCAGTCCGGAGGGTCTTGCGTACCGGCTCTTCCTCCGCTGCCCGCGAAGCGCCGGCGTCGGTCTGCTCCGCCAGCGGCGCCTGCGCACGATTGGGGCAGGAGAAAGGGGCCGCACTGACAGTCGGCTGAGAGGAACTGCTGGGGCAGCGCCGTCTCTCGGAACGTCTGCTGGCCGGGCTGGCAGGGCGAGCTTCCTCTTCATCACAGTCGCAGGCCGATGCGTTGGAGCGCTCGCGGGAGGCCAGGGGGGCTGGAGCTGTTGCCTGACTGGTCCTGCCTTGCCTCGGGGATGTTCTGACGGCTCAGACAGACGCGCACCCCTGCTTCTGGTGCGGGCTGGCGCCGCCCCGGCCCCGTGGAGGCTGGAAGCTAGCCGATCAGGAACTGGCCGCGGAGGCGCTGATGGGGGGCGGCAATCCCAGCTGCTCTGCACGCAATGCGCTGCCGCTGAGCCGCTGGGCACTCAGCTCTTCTCTGGACTCGGGCCCCAGGGGGCTGCCAGCTGTCGTCTGCGGGGAAGCATCGAGGGTGGCTCTTGTGAGGGTGAGCCTCTTCTTCGCCGCAGTTGCCCAATAATTCCGCACCAGCGGGTGCTTGAGCGACGCCATCCGCCTCGAGCCCAGGTAGCCGAGCATGATGTTTTGGCCGTGCCACGCAGGGTCTCGTCCTTTCACTGACGCTCGTGGGTCGTGTTTGTTGCGGTAAACATTCCCTTCGTCGGGCCCCTTGTGCGAACTGATAGGGGCTTGGGAGCCCTGGCGATGCAGGCGATCGACCAACAGGGCCAAGGTGGCACGCTTACCGCCCCATTTGACTCCTGGGGGGATGTTAAGCTGCGGGATGGACTCGCCGTAGACGGAGGCCAGGAATCCCTAGCAGCACGCTTCGGGCCAGGCTCTCGGGTCGAACGGAGGCCCCCATGTCTCTCCTGGGCTCGCGTAGCGAGGAGGCAACGTTGTTCGCCGTTCAGGCCTCCAGCGCTCGTCAACCTCTGGAGATACTGACCACACACACACAACACACACACACACACACACACCACGCACACATAATGTTGGCAAGCCCGCCGTAATTTTGATGTGGCCCTTGACGAAAATGGTGGGGAGGGCGATATTTTGCCCACTGTGGCGCACCTGGCGCGCGTAGCGCGCTAGGCATGTGCGGCGCACCTTGCGGGCGTCGCACCCGGCTGGCGTGTGCTTCGGTTCCCGACGGTTGTCGATGCCCCTGCCTATGCTGAGACTCGGGTGCTACTTACGTGGTGGGAGGGCGGGCGGGAGTGAGCGAGGCAGCTTGTGACGTTCCCGCCGGGAACTTGACCCCTCCCCCTACCCCCTACCCAGGGGCCTGAACTGGGCGCGAGGCGTTGGAGCGTCCAAGGAGGCCTCAGCGAGAAGGCACAAAAAACAAATGTTCCTTCGGTTACTCACCCATGTTGGCCTACCGAGGGGGCAAGGGTACTGAATGACCCCCTCCTATTCGATCGATGGCCTCCAAGATGGCCCCAAGACGGCCCGACAAGCCCAAACCAGATGCACAGCAGCAAGATGCCATCGTCGTGGCTGCCAAGAGGCAAAATACAATCGGGCACGCTGCCAGAACTACGGCGGCGCCAGCACGTCTGGACACGAGGCGGCGGAGGGGGCCGCCGCCAAGATTGACGGCCGCGAAAAGCCAGCGAGCAAGTAATTTGCCACGAGGGCCGAACGACCCGAAAAGCCCGAAGAGAGCGCCAAGAGCGTCCCAAGAGGACCCCCAAGAGGACCCCCCCAAGAGGCCCCACAGAGGCCCCCAGGAGACGGCCAAGAGGCCCCCAAGAGGCCACCAAGACGCCCCAAGGGGCTCTGGAAAGTTTCCAGAGCCCCTTCTTCTGCAGAGCAGAACCCAAGGATTTTCGACGCGGCGCGTCACATTCCTGCGGGTTCGGCAAACCCAAGGAATACCCATCCAAAACCAAACGAAAAACAACACGATGCAACGAATGGGCGCGCGGAAAACAAAACAAAACAAAACAAAACAAAACGCGCGGCAAGTGTCGCTAAAAGAAAAACAGCGCAAAACAAAACGCTGGGCCTGCCCAACCGTCTGCCATCGGTTTACGCAATCGTTTGAAACCACAACAAAACGCGTTCAGAACGAAAAACATATAAAAAAACAAAACAACCATGTTTCATGTAAAACAGCGTTTTCGGCCAGCGCTGCTGGAAACCGCCAGGAGGCCCCCAAGATATCCCAAGAGACTCCGAGAGGAATCCAGAAGCCTCCCACGGAGGCGCCCGAGCAATCCAAATGATGCCACGCTCCCCCGGATACGGGCAGCTCGCCTGGGCATTGCTCCAGGATGGGCTGGTAGGGATGCGCGAAGCGTCAGGACTTGCGCGATCCTGCGCGAACCCGCTGCAGGCCTTCGGGAGCGCCCTCACCGGTTCAAGCTGTCCTCGGCCTTGGTAGACAGCATCCCCAGGGCGATCTCTGGGTGGAGGTCCAGCGTGGTGCCCGTCATCATCTCGGCAGCGGGGCTAAGCAGGAAGCACACCTTGCAGGCGACGTCCACCGGGCGCATGATCCGCTTCAGGGGCAGCCCAGGCTCGGCCTCCTTGAGCCAGTCCTCGCCTCCCTTCTTGACCATGAGGTCGTTCTCGTTGTCCGTCAGCGTCCAGCCCATGTTGATGCCGTTCACGCGGATTCCGTACTGCGCCAGCTCGGTAGCGTTGTTCGCGGTGAGCACGTTCAGAGCGGCCTTGGATGCAGAGTACGCGCTGATGAACGGCGCGCCGCCCTTGGCTGCGACAGAGCTGATGTTAACGACGGCCCCAGGTGACTTCTGTGCGATCCAGTGCTTCGCAAGGGCCTGGGTCAAGAAAAACGGGGCGCGCGTGTTGATGTCGAACTGCTTGTCGAACATCTCGGGCGTGGTGTCCAACAGATTTCCCCGCTCCGTGGTCCCCGCGGCGTTTACCAGCCCGTGAACAACGCCGTCCAGAGCCTCAATGGAGGCTGCGGCCGCCGCAATCACCGAAGACGGGTCCGCCATGTCCGCCTGGACGAAGACGGCCTTGCAACCATCGCTGCTCAGCTCAGCTGCCGCTGCCTCCCCCTTGTCGCGGCTGCGCGACAGGAGGGCCACCCGGGCGGCGCCCAGCGCCTTCAGCTGCCGCGCGATCTCAAGCCCGAGGCCTTGGGTGCCCCCCGTGACGATGTAGTGTTTCTTGCTGAGGTCCAAGGAAGGACTTGACAGCGGCGGGATGTACACGGACTCGGCGGGCATGGTGGCCAGGGCAAGGGCGCGGCAGCGCTGGTGCTACGTGCGAGCCAAAGGGAACTCGGAGATGAGGGTGAAGAGAGAAAGAGAGAGAGAGAGAGAAACACAAGTGACGACCGACCTGCAGGTCCTGATGGCCACTATGCGCGGGAGGGGGGGGGCAGGGGCAAGTGAGGATAGCACTGGATGCACACAACCTTCACACCGCATGGCTACATCTAATGAGGCACAACAGCTCGCAAACACGACCTGGTCAACTGCAGGGCCAGTAGAAGAAAACCAGTGGACTGGCAACACGTGTCCGATGGAGGAGGCACGAGGAGGAAAGAAGCAGACGGACAAGCAGGATCGTATTGGAGTACCTGCTCGTTCTGCATGCACATGAAGGCTGTCCAGATTCCAGCTAGGACAGCTCTCGAGAACAGCGATCTCGCCCCAGACTGCAGCAGGTAGGCGTGGACTTACATCACCTCCTCTGCTGTTCCTGCTCCTGCTCCTGCTCCTGCTCCTGCTCCTGCCCCTCCTCCTCCTCCTCCTCCTCCTCCTCCTCCTCCTCCTCCTCCTCCTCCTCCTCCTCGTCCATCTCCCGCTCCTGGCCCCGCTTCTCCTGCACAGCCCGCTCCTCCCGGGCCCGCTCCCGCCCCGGCGCCCGCACCTGCTGCTGCTCCTCGGTGCTCTCCTCCGTCCCCCGCCTCCCCCTTCAGCAGAACTGCCCCACCTCTCGTCGAACCACCAAGACGTACTGGTGTGCAGGGGTGGTCGGGCCGTTTCGACGGAGATCTCCCCACAGCTGATTCCCCATAGCCTGAGCTTCGCGTCTGCATTGCTGGGCTGCTGTCTTCGCCTCACTCACTCACTCACGCATCCTTCCTTTACTCATGCTCAGATCCTCTCGGGCCGAAACCCCGTCACATTCGGGCCCGAGCGCACTGAGAGCCCAAACAATTCAGACTCACTCACACTCACGCCCACTCATACTCACATCTAATCCATTCAGACGCAAATTCCCGCAGACTCACTGGCACTCAGACACGAACAGATTCGCACCGGAACGACCTGCACGCTGGCGAATGACTCGGTGTGGATCGCTCAACCTCGACCGATCGCGGCTACTTCGATACCAGCCATAACCAGGCCACTGGCGGCTCTCAACCCTGAGCGCCCACGCTAAGGTCGCAGCCGCGTGGACGAGGCGTGGAAAATGCCGCTGCCGCGCGCCGGCATCGACAGTTCGTGGACACCAGCATGGACGTCTGGCTCGTAGACACAAGCTGCTTGCGCGGGCTTCCGCGCTGGGCGCCTGCGGCGAAGCCGCCCGTGAATTCACAGGGGTTCTGGGGAAAACTGGTGCGAAAATCCCACGGAAGTGGAAGCGACTAGGGCTGGGCCCCCTCCCCCATCCCACCTGGCTCCGAGACGGCCTCAAGACGGCCCAGGACGGCCTCGAGCGGGTACAAACAGCCCCAGTACGCTCGGAGAGGGCCACACGGAAACTCCAAGACCTCCAGAGTTAAACTATGGCATCTCTGCCTGGTTTGTTGAGCGAGCTCCGCGTTCTCGCCTTTTCGGGCCTCCTGGGATGCCTAAAAGGCTGAAGAGGCCCAGAAGACCATCTCCAGACGGCCCAGAGGAGCCCCAAGACGGACGGCCCCAGGACGGCCCAGAGGCCCCCCAAGGCGGCCCAAGAGGCCCCCAAGACGGCCCCAGAGGGCCTCAAGAGGCCCCGAGAGGCCGCCAAGACCACCTCCACCGCAGGAGCGTCCTGAGACGGCTCCAGCGTCCCCACAGAAGCCCTCAGGGCCCCAAACAAAATACCAAGACCCCCAGGAAGCCTCCAAGAGGCCCCCGAGAGGGCCCCACGAGACCTAGAACGCACCGACTCTGCGCGTTCCAGACGTGCACCCCACTAAGCGAAAGGATCTCAAAACGAGCAGCGGCCGCTCCGCGTGAAGCGTTAAGAAATATTTCGCCATGCAAGAATACCACCCGCTATTCGTAACAAGCTACCCGCGCATTGCGGGTGGCTCTGGGATCCGTGGCGTCAGCCTCGGACTGTGGCATACCTTTTGTGCTGGTCCATCCGTGATCATTGGCCCCGCCCTTGCTTCGCGGGAACTGTCTCGCGAACGTACCCTTCCAACTTCTGGCACGCGGGAGGGAGGAGGAGGAAGTAGGAGGAGGAGGCAGAGGACACGGAGACGCTGTTGAGTACTGGGTGCTGCTCTGAACGCGGAAGCACGGCGGGTGGGCGGCGAAGGGCGAGCGGGCGGGCGGGCGGCGGGAAGGATCCTCTCGCAGCGGGATGCTGTGGAACATTGGGTGCTAGATTGGAGGCGGACGCTGTCGAGCACCAGGTGCTGCGCAGGAGAGGGGAGGTGTTGTCGCATGCCGGGTGCTGTCATGAACACGGAAGCACGGCGGCCGGACGGCGGGCGGCGGGCCTGAAGAAAGCCTCCGTTCGTGCCTGGATGGTCCTTGTTTGATCGCGACCGCGGCGAAGAAGGTCGGGCGGCGTAAATGTAAGAAGCACAGATGCACCGGCCTGAATCAGCGCACAAGAAGAGGGAAGCGAACAGAGGAAGAGGGCGAATGGGGATTCTTTCTTGGGTCGCAGCCGCAGGCGAGAGCGCAAGCGGCGAGTCGTAAGTCCGGGGCGCGGGCCTACTAATCAAAACAGGAGCAAGCTAGAGCGGCGTAACCTAAACGAATGGGGATTATTTGGTCAGCGGGCTGACGCGTAAAGCAGTCGCCAAAAGGGTGGTCCGGGGCACGGGCCAGCCTGATTAACTACCGAACCAAGCGCAAGAAGCCCGGCCAGCACTCAGAAGCGGCTGCCGGGGGGCTGCAGCTGGAGGGTACTGGCAGGGACTGCAGACGCCCAGGGCAACAAGTGCATCGTGCAAGCCGGAAGCTGGAACACGCCACAATCGGAATTAAGCCCTGCACGCCAGGAACGCATGATCGGCTGTGCAACTAGCGGAGCGCTACCACAGCCAGGCAACCCAGGAAGCGGTGCGCCACCAGGAACAGAACTGGAAGTCACTCATTCGAGCTCAGGCACCAAGGACAAAAGCCAGGTACAATCTGACCATGTCGCCACAGGGCGCCAAGGGCCACTGCCGCAGCAGCGGCGCGGTATAAGCCAAATAGGCGGGGACGGGGCGCCAGTAGGGGAAGCACGGTGTCCGCTGGAAGGCTGCACCACTCCGCGACACATTACTTAACCCCAAGGTCGATGCCAGATCCGGGCGTCAGTGGCGAGTGTGGACCAGGCCCCACGGGCCGACTGCACCAGGGAGCCTGGCCAGTGTGCGTCGTGGACGCCGCACGGAGGGGACCGCGCATTGCGCGGGAGGGCAACCGGGCAGGTGGGAACGGACATCACCAGGACGGCGAGAGAACGGCATCCACCAGGGGAGTCCAGCGCCAGGGGGCGACTAGCCACACAGCGATGCGGGGCTGCATGGTCATGTGGCAACTGGCCGCCCTGTCCTTATGAGACCCTCGCGTGGCGTGGGCGGGCGGGAAGTGACACCACCTGCCGGCCGGAGGCCCACAGGAAAGGCGCAGTGCCAGGAGACGGCCGGTGGCCATACGAGCTAAAGACGAAAGTCTGCGAGAACGAACGGCCTGCGGCGGCCCTATCTTTGCGTATGCGGGAACGACTGGCCGATGACCATTCCGTCCGCATGAAGAGAAAGAGGGGAGGGAGTCAGACAACCAGGGAGCGGCTGACGGCCGCACAGGATAGCATGCGATCTCCACAGCCCAGTGGAACGGCATGGGAGCGCTCCTTGCCCGCAGCGGGTAGACTTCCATCGTCTCGGTGTGCCCTGTGCCCGCATGGCTCCCCCGGCAGCCACCCTGCCCTAAGTGGGCAATCCTGCGCTGGGGAGGTGGTCCGCCTCCCAGATCATGGCCGTCGGATTGCCGAGGGCTGACCATTCTTCGCTGAGCGCAGGTCCGCCCGCGGGGCCTCTGGCAGGTGGCCGATCTGCCCTGGACTGCGCAGGGAGATGCGGCCGCTGGCCAGATCGACCGCGGTAAAGAGGGGGGGAAGCCAGGGGACCAGGGGGCAACTCGCGGCCGCACAGGTTGTTGTGAATTTCGCTACTCTGGGGGGAGGTACGGGCACGCTCCTTGCTCGCAGACGGTAACCGTCGGAAGGTGGCTGCTCCCACGGGGAGCCAGGGAACGGCAGTCGGTCGCCAGGGTAGCGAAAACTCTGCCCCAGGTAGGACTGGGGGCACGCGATGCTCCCAGCCAGTGGCCGCATCCGGGGGGCCCGGGCGCCTCCTGGGCCCGCCCTTGCCCCGATGGCTCTGGTCGTTCGCGTGCTCTGCCTCGCTGGGGCGCTGCCCCACTCCCGGCCCGTGGCCGCTCGATTGCCAGAGGCTGCCAGGCATCTGGCGGGCCAGGCGTTCTGGCGCCATCCAAGGAGCACCAGAACGAAACCGCAGCAGCCCCACTAGCGCCGGGGGATGCGCCCTCGGCGACGCGCCCCCGCGGCTGACGTGTCTGGGGGGGGGGGGCTGTCCAGCGCCCGGCCTCGCGGATGGCCGTGTTCTGCCCGAGGAACTCCACCGCGGGGTAGGGGCCTGCTGGGACCCTGGCCCGAGCCACGCCCGTTGGGTCATGCCCGGAGCGAGCCCATTGCAGCTGGGACGAGCTGCCTGCGCGCGAGAGCGGCGGGTGGTCGCTCGAGCGTTGGAGGCCTGGCTGCTGGGACGTGGGGCGGATGGTTATCACGTCCAACAGATGCAAGAGAGAGGAGAGAGAGAGAGAGAGAGAGAAATAGAGAGAGAGAGAGAGAGAGAAAAAAAAAAAAAAAAAAAAAAAAAAAAAAAGAGCGGGGGGGAAAAAAAGGAGCGGCTGCCGGCCGCAGAAATTTACATGAGTCCCCAGAGAGCCGGAAGCACACGGAAGTCGGGCGCCAAGGGAGTAGGAACGACCAGGGCGCCCGAAAGCTGTTGCGCGTGTGACTGCTGCATCCGTGTGCCATCCACCCATATCTAACCAGCCGGAGCTGTCTAGCTATGCTGCGCCTTGGTGAAGGTGGGGG